GGTGGGGCGGAGAGGGAGGGAGGAAGAAGGGTGGGTGCTTACAGCCTCCGCCCCCTCGGGTCGCACTGCACTGCACTGCCCTGCCCTACCGAGCTGCAGGCGGTGGCCGCGGCAGCGATCGCTCCCAGCAGGGCTGGGGACGAGACCGAGGGTGGCGGCGGCCTCCGCCTGGGTGCGTTTCCCAGTGTCCATGGCGCCTTCCGTTTCCAACTGCGGATTTTCTGCCGAAAAACTTGGGCCGTGGGTGGGAAAGCCCCCGTGGGCCACTGACGGGAGTGCTGGTGCTTCAGGCCTCTTCGGTGCTTCGCTGGTTGTTTTTGGGCAGTCGGTGCCGTAGTTGCTATAAACCCACTCATAATCGGCTCAGACCTGCGAGCCCTTCCCCCTGTCCCTCTCCTGTTTCAATGGTGAAGCTTCTAGCAGTAACTTAATGACTTACGTCCATTCTTATTTTTTTATGACGTGCTAAAGTCATGAATGTGGTAATAAACCTGTGATTAATAAAGACTGCTGTCTAGTGAAAGGTTTGAGGTACTCCTCATGATCCCACGACTGAGAGTAAACACAAGTCAGGTGGAAATGAACAGCTCAGGGTGAAAGCTGACTTTATTTTTGAGATGCATCCCTGCAAATGATTTGTGCTGAAGTCTCCTGGAAAAAGCCTGCCAGCTGCAGGACAGCTGTTTGTCACGTGAACTGCGCTGTCTTTTAGGAGGCTGTTACTTCGTTGGATCCTGTGGTGTTCCAGCTTGGACATTAAGTCTGAGAAAGCTTTTGGTGATTTCTGTTAGTCTTTGGGAGGTATAGGCATCCAGGGTGTTGTGGTGTAAAACCTGTGTGCTGTAAGTCTCTGCTTGAGATCATAATGAAAAAGCCCTTGTGAGGCAGGCCAGTTTTTGTTGCCATTTATTAATTAATAGAAAACTGGTTCCCTGTTATTTAAAACACACTTAAAATTCGGTGAAAAATACTGAAAGTAAAATAAAATAATGCCAAGACTGCTCCTGATGTTGTGAAGTTAATGCTTCTCCAACTCCACTGTTTAAATCTGAAGGGCACAGTTATTTTCTCCTTTCCCATGAGAGCTGATACAGAGGCCTTTATTATAAGTAAGAGCAGCAGGTCAGAACAGTCAGTGTGAGGAGTTTCTGACAGTTGCTTAAATAATAGGCTTTTATTTGTATCAAATACTGGAAAGATTGTATCTTGTGGAAAAGAGAACCTAAATACCAATGTGAATGACTTGGGAAAGAGAAACAACTGCTGTTTCCCAACCTTTCCTCCACTTAAATTGTAAATGTTGGTTATTTGTAGCTTTCATGTAATTTGAACAGCTCCCATAAAAAATTTTTTTACAGTTTCCCCTTCTTAAAGGGCCGTGTAAAGTGTAACAAGTGAAGATACCAAGCATAGTAATGTGTAGAAATGCAGCTTCCCAGCTCTGGTGTGGCATGACACTTGTCTTTAATAAAAAATGCTAAAGTTAATTCACAGTTTAGGAGGAAAGAAAGCTGAATGGTTGTTGAGCGATACTGTAGCTACTGGAAACAGAATGTAGTTCTTCTTTCTGACTTCTAACTCCTCACATTTGTCTGGGGTCTTCCCCTCATCCTCCCTGTTTTTTTGGTTTTGTTTTGGGTTTTTTAATGCGTTATGTGTATTGGTAGGTAATATCTTCCTGGACTGTGGCTTCTAATCATGACTTAAAGGTTTTGCCAATTGAAGAGCTACCAAATGTCAGCCAGGCAGTTTCTTCTTGACTCAGTTTTCTGATAAGGCATTATTTTATTTGCTTGGAGAATCTGAGTGGGTTGCAGTAGTGAGGACTGGCCTATTGTTTTGTTCCATCTTTGCTTTCAGGCCTGTTTTTTTTTTTTTCTTGCAGTGTTGGAATGAAGGATGTGTGGTGAGTTGATCCTGGCTGGCCACCAGGTACCTCTGTCACTCCCCACCTCAGCTGGACAGCAGAGAGAAAATATAACAAATGGCTCATGGATCGAGATAAGGACAAGGAGAACACTCAGCAATTACCATCGTGGGAAAAACAGACAGGACTTGGGGAAATTAATTTAGTTTATTACCAATCAAATCAGAATAGTATTATGAGAAATAAACCCAAATCTTAAAACACCTTCTCCCTACCACTCCTTTTTTCTAGGGCTCAACTTTCCTCCCAGTTTCACTACCTTGTACCCCAGAGCAGTGCAGGGGGTTGGGAAATGGGGGTTGTGGTCAGCTCGTCACACGTTGTTTCTGCTGCTCCTTCTTCCTCGGGAGGACTCCTCACACTCTTGCCCTCCTCCAGTGTGGGGTCCCTCTCACAAGGGACAGTCATCCACAGACTTTTTCGATGTGAGACCCTTCTACAGGGTGCAGTCCTTCAGGAACAGGCTGCTCCAGCATGGGGTCCCCACAGGGTCACAAGTTCTGCCAGCAAACCTGCTCCAGTGTGGGCTCTTTTCTCCACGGGGCCACAGGTCCTGCCAGGAGCTTGCTCTAATATGAGATCTCCGTGGGGTCACAGCCTCCTTTGGGCTTCCACTTGCTCCAGTGTGGGGTCCCCCATGGGCTGCAGGTGGATCTCTGCTCCTCTGTTAACCTCCATGGGCTGCAGGGCACAGCCACCTCACCATGGCCTTCACCACAGGCTGCAGGGGAATCTCTGTCCAGTGCCTGGAGCAGCTCCTCCCCCTGCTTCTTCATTGGTCCTGGTGTCTGCTGAGCTGTTTCTCTCACATATCCTCACTCCTCTCTCCAGTTGCTGTTGCACAGGTTTCTTTCCCCCTCTTCTTAACCATGGTATCACAGAGGTCCTACCACTGTCACCGATTGTCTTGGCTGGCAGCAGGTCTGTCTTGAAGCCGATAGGCATTGCCTCTATGGGACAGAGTGAAAGCTTCTAGCATCTTCTCACATAAGCCAACCCTGTAGCCCCCCTGCTAACAAAACTGTGCTGTGCAAACCCAATACAGGGCACTTGGGTAGTCATTGTTGCTTTTGAAGGTTTTCTTTCAGCCCACACTGCAGAAGATCTTAATACAGCAGTCTGGTACATTTGCTTTACCCATTTTAAGTATAGCATCAAGTTTTCTTCCTTCTTTTGGAGCATGGATTTGATGCTTCTGATGCTTTCTGACTGCAATCTGGAAGGCAGGCAGGTGGTCAAAAAAACTTTGATAGTAATAGATGTCTGTAAATATGAAAGGCAGGAGCTTTAAACAAAATAGTTAATGATGAAGTAAGCTTGATGAGATCTGGTGAATCTTAGCAGAAAGGATCCCAATCCTCAAAACAATAATGCTTTATTATGGATTCTTCCTTTGAAAAACGGTTGTATTTTTGTTCCTAGTGTTTGACTATGCTTTGCAAAGCTGCATGTGCTTGAGCTAAGAGCACAGTTTTTGGAAAAAAGGTTGAGAGCACAGTAGTAGAATTATAGTCCTTGGGATTGTAAACCATACCATGCTCAATCCCACCTATCCCATAATTTAAGGTTACTCTGCAAGTGAGTCTTGGGTGCTCCTAACAGGGATTGTTTATGACTGTTAACTAATTTTTTAGTCATGTTTTGCACCAGTGTTTTCTAATGTAGTAATATATTGTTTTGAACCAAATTAAATGGCTAAATTTACCTTTCACACAGGGCAAACTCAGAAGATGAATCTCTTCCAGTCCATAACAAGTGCCTTGGACAATGTTTTAGCCAAAGATCCGACTGCAGGTATACTAAACATGTTAGTGTGCTTTTGCTTTGTATAAACTGCATTTTGTTCTGCCTATTTGTGTGCAATATTAAATGCATTTCTCTCTCGTCTTTAAAGTTTTCTATTAAGTTATGTCTACACTTTGATCTCAAACTAAACTTAAAAATGTGTTATATTAACCTATTATTAATGGATTGCGTGGTCTAAGATGCAGTGGTGTTTTCTCTACTAGTTGGGTGTATTTTGCTTGGAAGTTGGGACAGAACAGATACATTGCTTAACGTGCTTCTGGTATTACTGATGTGAACTGTGCTTAGGGTCAGCTTGAGTCCCACCAGTAGGTAGAGGAGGTTTTAATATTCCTTTCCAGCTTTACTGATTTCTGCTCATCATTGCACATAGGCCATGTAAGATTTTTCTAGGCTTTTGCAGTCTGGATAACTTGTACCTTTGAAGAAGCTGGTTCATCATAGCTTCATTTAAAAGAGTAAATCTAAACTCTTTTGCACAAAACTATTTACAACACTTCTAGTTCTTGTACATAACAGGAGGTTTATTGCTTCTGTTGTCATAACAAAGGCGTGATGATGGCCAGCTCTCTGAAAGATGTGTTTAATGTCATGAGCACAGCTGCAAAAGCTGTGTGATCATGTGAAATTTTGGCTTTTCTTTTTAGTGTTTTAGTAATTCTTTTTGGCACTGCTTGAACTGCTGCTCAACTTGAGGTCTGACTAATGGTCTGATCTGTCAGGACAAATTCCATGTTGTCCATCCAGTGCTTTGTCTGTCTACATTCCCTCTCAGTCTGAATTATAATCACCTTTATTAAATTAAACTTAGGCAACTAAAGGTAAATTAGTGCCAAGAACAGATTTTAGCACCATTTCTGTAAATTCACCTGTATAAAAGTAAGTAGAGAGTTAGTCCAGAAGGAACCTAAGCTCGTACGTCATCTTCAGCCTTTTAGTTGCTCTAAGGTTCCAGTCTTACTCCTCAGCTTTGCAAAGGAGCTATGCAAAGCCCTTTGCAAGACCACGTTGGAGATCTACAGTCTGGATATGTGAGTTGTCAGTATTACCCTACTTACTGAATTAATTAGTACTTCTTGCAGTGAAAGCATGTCCTTCATATGTTTTCAGTTGTAGAGGAATTGAGCAACCGCTGTTTAAATAGTGGAAATCCTCATACTTGTGTTGATGAGTATTAGAATCTGTCCAGGAAAATATTTTCAGTGGCTGAACGGAATGAGTAAATCCACACAAGTTTGCTGATAGCAGGATTAAATGGGATTTTTTTATTATTTTTTTTTAATGCCAGCTGGCTCAAAAGTGAGTAGCCATATGGTAATGGAAAGGCCTTACAAAGATTTTTAAGAACATCAAAAAAGCAAAGAATTTAATATCAAAAATAAATTGGAGAGATGATCTGGGGACATACTTAAAACAAACTCCATGATGCCATTGGTTTTACATCGATATAGAAGTTATTTTTGTTAAGTGCCATCATTAAAATGATTGTCAGCAATGTTGTACTGTTCTTATTTTTCAGTAATATTTGGTGAAGATGTGGCCTTTGGTGGAGTCTTCAGGTGTACAGTTGGCTTACGGGACAAATATGGTAAATTACCTTTTAATCTGACATTATTTTAATATTTTCCATATTTTCATATTAGCATCCCTCGTGTTTTGTACTTCTATGTGGTTTGTGGGAGGAGAGAAGAACATGTGGGAGAGAAGCGTGATAAATGGACTTCTGTTTTCCTTTCTGTGTTTGGAAACAGAAAAGGGTTTTAATGTGTTACCATTTATGTGAGCTTTCAAAGCTTTTGCAACTCACTGACATAATTTCAGGTATCTTCTATTTCTTCTACTAACTTTACCAATATAACTTCTTTTTTTATAACTGCAGTTGGACCAGATATTTATAATCTCCACTGAATTACTGTAATCAAATTAAAGCCTCTTAGCAATACATGGTGATGCTTTTTAGTCTTACCTATCAAGAACTGTGAAGAAATTACACTAAAATGGATTTAAACTCTTTGTTAAATATAGTCTTTTCTAGCAAGACCTGGAGAGCCAATATAGAAATGCTGTGTTGTAGCTATGCTTCATCTAGAGTGTGATGGGCTTTTTTGTTTGGGACACTCATGTGAAGTTATTCAGAGAAATGGTATAACCTTTGTCTTAAAAAAACTTAGAAGTTGTCTTTATCATTAGATAGGAAAAACAGGTTTGCAAAAGCATTTGAAAAATAAGATGGTACTTAATCATCTTATGCATCAGAGAGTTCAGGTTAGTTCAGTGGAAGAGGAAAAACAGTTACTTGCCAGAACAAAATTTTTGCTAAACTTATTTTTTAAAGTAAGCTTTAAATAGAGATTTTCTTTAAAACTTGCAGAAGCTTTAAAAAATGTATTGTCATCTGTGATTTAAATTAATCTGCATAGTGTGTTTCTTTTGGAAGAAACTTAGTTCCGCTATTTCTGGGGGACAGTTTCCTACAGATGAGTATCAGTGGCTTCCAAGAAGGGTGGGGGGAAGGAAAGGACTTTATTTAAGACCGTATGTCGTTGCACAAGCATAAAGTGTTGTGTTCACAGTTCTGGATTGATAGAATTTAACCACCTACTTAGTGATACCTGGTTAACAAATCTGGAGGACTTTTCAAAGTCCTTCACAGCTCTTCTGATTAAGTTTCTTCTTTTGGTTATCCGTTTGGTGTGGCTTCATTAAATAGTTATTTTGCTGTGAGAAGTGCTGTTACTGGAATGCTAAAAAAAAGCATCGATTCATATGGCATGCTAGTACATAGCAGTTCACAGGATTTGGAAAGTGGTTGTGGATACAGTAACCTGATAGCTATTAATTTGCCAGTTGCTGTCTTCCCTACTGGGCTATTAAACAGAATAAAAGGTTATAAAATATTGAGTTTCAGCAGCTTGATTTCTTCAAGGCACAAAGATGACTGGGACCACTTGCAGCCAGCGATTTAATCCATTTTGTTTTCCTCATTTGGAGAGCATAAGAGACAACATGAGAAATTGTGGAAGTACCTGTATGAACGTTGAACAAGGGCTAATGAAAGCTAGTGTTGTCATTTGATCCAAAAGGGTACTAAACTCTTTATGGTGAATAGGAGTGTAGATTTGCTGAGGAAAATCTAAGTAGAGTGTTCTTGTTTCTTGTGATTGTAAAAGAAAATGGGTGGGTACATAAAGTGCTGGTGAAATCAAATTAATGAGGTAGGAAACTATCTTTTCACATTCATTCAAACCACGGCAAAGATAGTATTTGCTAGAGGAAAAGTGTGTTAGCTGGAAGGGAAGGAGACATTTGGAAAACTTTGTTGTCTTCCTACTTGAAGAAAAAAAAAAGCTGGTCTTACAGATTAATTATAGAAAGATCTTCCTAAGATCCATTTGTCTTGCAGATTGAGATGTAGGTCTGGGTGAGAAGTGAACTGAAGATATTGAAAGTGATTGAGAGAGAAGAGAGTGGAGAAGGCATGACAGGAAAAATAAATATAGTTCTTTATGGAGCTGATGAGGTGCCCATAAGTAAATGAAGGCAATATCTGAAATATAAATCTGGACAGAAATAGAAGTCTGAAGATAAAAAGTGAATTTGGGAGTCATAAACTTAATGGTAATTCAGCTTTGTAAGGAAGATAAGGTGACACAGGTAACTTCTGGCTTCTTTCTTCACTAAGTAGTAAAATCCTGTAGAAAATGGACTGTGGCTGAAGAAGGAATGGTAAAGATCACACAGAATCACAGCATGTTAGGAGTTGGAAGGGACCTCTGAAGATCATCCAGTCCAACCCCTGCCAAAGCAGGATCATCCAGAGTAGGTCACACAGGAACACGTCCAGGTGGGTCTTGAATGTATCCAGAGAAGGAGACTCCACAACCTCTCTGGGCAGCCTGGGCCATGCTCTGTAACCCTTACAGTAAAAAAGTTTTTCCTCATGTTCAGGTTGAACCTCCTATGCTCCAGCTTGGTCCCATTGCCCCTTGTCCTGTCATTGGACATCAGAGAGAAGAGCCTGGCTCCTTCCTTCTGACACTCGCCCTTTACAAATTGATCCCCATGAATGAGGTCACCCCTCAGTCTCCTCTTCTCCAAGCTAAAGAGACCCAGCTCCCTCAGCCGCTCCTCATAAGGGAGATGCTCCACTCCCTCCATCATCTTTGTGGCTCTGCGCTGGACTCTTTAAAGCAATTCCCTGTCCTTCTTGAACTGAGGGGCCCAGAACTGGACACAATATTCCAGATGTGGTCTCACCAGGGCAGAGTAGAGGGGAAGGAGAACCTCACTAACCTACCACCACACCCCTCCTGATACACCCCAGGATGCCATTGGCCTTCTTGGCCAATGAACTAGAATGAATTAGATGAACTAGAGGACGTTCTGTAAATGTAGTTGTGATGCTGAGGAGAACCAGGAAAGATTGAAAGCACAAAAATTGAAGGAATCCAAAATTTTGAGGGGTGTATATCTCTCTTATCAGTGTTGTCTTAGAGATTACATGAGTTCTGAGTGCAGTGCTTGTTTTATGCAAGGACTGGAGTCCATGTAGTCAGGAGGAATTCCAGACAGTTGATGAAAAAGCAACCTCATAGATCTTAGCTGTATGAGGAAGATTACATACACTCACTGACTCTTCTTTCCCATTCCCCTCCTGCATTTACCATCAACATAGTAATAGGAGATACAAGGGATATCATATGAGGTTGTTTCTCTGTGTATGTAAAACATGAAGGAATCAATGTGGTTTCTCCTCTCCTGAAAGAGGAAGATTGTGTAGTTCTTTTTCCCCATAAAGAATCAAAATCACTAGGTGGCAGTCTATGCTTATAAGTAGTTATTTTGAAACAAATTGGTAGTTCCTTTTTAAACACTTTTATAGAGGTCAAGGTCTAAATGTCACCTAATATAGTAGGAAGAATTGAATGTATTAGATCTCAGTAGTAGTACTATACAGATGTTGGTTGCTATCCAGACTGTTACTGAAGTCTCTCTGGAGAGACAGAGAAGAAATTTGTCTTTAGAATAAATCTGTCATCAAATCTGAAACCTTTTTTTGCCAGGAAAGCCATTTAAGACTGAGTGTAGAATAATGTAATACAAGCACAGCTAGAGACCTATACTAATAAGTCAAACTCATTGACCTGGTAAGGAAGTAAATCCTAATTTTTGGTCGGATGAATTTTTGACATCCTGCAAAGAATTTTGTTTGAAAATGTTTAATTGAGGAATTGTATGTAGACAAGTCAGTATGTGGAAGTTTCTTTTCCACCATAGCTATGGCTGAGGATGGTATGCTTTTTTCTGTACATTTTACGTCAACATCCGAAATAGGCAATTCCAGTTTTCTGGCATCACTTTGCTGCTCATGTTCCTTCTGTTGGTGTTAGTATGTTTTACGTTAACTGAATGCTTAGAAATATTACTGTATAATCCTGCTTCCTGATAATGAGTAGACTCCCTGAATTTTTTAATGTGGAGAGTTCCTTTCAGATAAGGGAAGGGAAATAAGCCTTGTACAGATTTCTTTTTTCCTTTGTATATTCTTATTTTTTGTCTCCTTCCTCATCACCCCCTGCCAGGTTTTGATTGTCACAGTTTTGCAGAGGTTGCATACTATAACCTGTAGAGTATCTTTATTGAAGCAATGAGTTTCTGCTGTCCTGTAGTCCTGCTGTCTGGAGATGTTTCCTGTCTCTAGAGCACAGATGTAAACTGCATGACTGATAGCTCGCTTCCCTGCCTACTGTATTTTTGTAGCCTAGGTAATGTGTGCAAACATTTTTTTTTGCTTTTAAAGGCAAGAACATTATTATTTTGGTCTTTTGGAGAAAGTGCTATCTGAATGAAAAAGCTGTACATTTGTCTTTAAGCCTGCAGATGGATTCGAAGCAGTGGAGTGTGAATACCTGGGTCCTATTGCTCTGCCTGAAGTGTGAAATAAAGTTGCAGCATGTAACGATCAGTATCATCCACATGGCAAAAATATACAGAGATCTGAGGTAGGGCTTAGATGACAGGAGGTAAATAAATGGTAGGAAGAAATAGAGGATAAGGTGAAAACGGAGGAAGTGGACAGGAGTAAAGACTGAGAAACAAGAGTGGATAAGATAGTGATTGGCAAGGAAGGCTGCTCAGAAGAATGCCAGAGCAGGGTTTTTTTTGGGTGACTCCAAAAAAAGCCCCATCTACCCTACTGTGACCAAAAGTGAATTTGAGATTATATAAACAGAAGAAGTGAACTATATATAAGACTTTTCTTGAATACTGTCTCTGCTGTCCTCTAAACACTTGCAGCTCGAGGGCTTCCTTATCTACAAGTGCCTCTGTGCAGCCTCAGTAGAGGTTTGTCTTTAATACCATTCCTGTCTGTGCTTGAAGGGAGGCTCTAATGTGCACTTAGAGCCATGTCAAAAACTTGTCCTTTGCGAGGGGAAGGATCAAGAGCCTTCTGACTGTTTCAAAGATTGATATCTTGAGACTGTGGGATAGGATCAGTCCTGGCTCAGAGCTCTGAGAATTTGCCAGAAGGGAGATTGGCTTGGCAGGTCTTTCCCCATAGTAGTGCTTTAGGGAGACTGAGGGGTT